GGTTAGATTAGGTTTATGTTTTAAGGTTTTTGTTTTTCTTCTTCTTTTTCTCTTCCGTTTTTACTTTTTGTTTTCCTCCATTAATGGAGGCTTAGACTTTCATCTAGTCCAAGGGTTAAAAAAGAGTTGAGACACTCTTGAGGATCGGTTATGCAATTTATTCAACAACAAATTTGGTTTCATCTCTTTCTTTTTTCTCCTTTTGCTAATTATGATTTTGAATTGAAGTTCTTCGTTTGGATTGATAATTGTGCAGTTGTTTGATTACATATTATTCGGTTGATGTATGTAATTAATTCTTGAAGGAATGTGAATTAGATTTTCAGGTTTGAGATCTAAGATTAATAGTGTTGGTGAATTAAATTAACACAAATCGATTAGGTTCTAGAGGTTTCTGAACTTTGAGCGAATTGTGTGTTAATCGAATGCATGAGGGTTCTCGTGTGAATGCTTAATTTAAATTGAGGTTTCATTCAAATTTAATGTTAATCACTAATTTGTTAGTTGATGCATCTTCTTGGAATCCAGTGATAGAGTGGTCGTAGTTCTTCTAAATTTTTGGATTAGAGTTTTTAATTCTTGTTAACTTTTGATTCTAATTAGTGTTATTCTATAAATCGAACCCCCTCTAAATTTATAATCATATAACGTTATCATCATTGGGAGACGACTTGGATTGCACCTCTTACTACATAATTTTTATGCAATTTGGTTTTTATTAATTTGTCCAAGCGCGACACTCGCGATCACTACTCATTTCAAAACCAAAAATCCTGATGAAACCATCACTCCTAATGATATCCAAGGCCTCATGGAATAGGCCAATTATACCAATAAATACCTTCAAGTTTTAGGAGAAAAAATCTCTAAAAATCCTGTTTATATATATATATATAGACACACACACAAGAGAACAATTTCACTTGTGACCAACTGACACAAAATAGGTCTCATATTAGAATTTATAAGGGTTTGTTCTGTGAATGTATTTGAAATAGAACCTTGTTGATTTCATTATTTTTGGAGGTATATTGAATTAATTATGAATTTCAATTTGCAAGCTCTTGAAAATGGCATTATGTGAACATTAGATAGAAAATGGGTTGAGTGTTACTTAAAGAAAGAGAATCTGGTTGATTTTATAATTTTTGAAGTTATAATAAATTAGTTACCAATTTTTCATTATCTTAGTGCTAAAAATGGTATTTTGGGAGCAATAGAGGGAAATTAAAAGAATGATTTATATGTCTATTTTTATATGAAAATAGACACTTAAATAAATAAAACCTTAGTGATTTTATGATTTTTAGATTTGTATTGATTTAGTTATGAATTTTCAAGTTGGTATACGAAATTTAGAAAAATCTGAAAATAGCCATGTTCATGATATGAATTCTTATTTTGTTTAAGGGATGTGTGATTACGATTAATATGTACCTAATGAACAAGTTGATGGCTGGAATTTGTGTTGTGATTGTGAATTAATTTATAGAAAAAATGGTTGAAAATGCTACATACAAGCGAGGGACAAATAGTGTTGGTGTGACAACAAAGGACAACAAAGTACCAAAGTCTTAGAAAGAAAGGAAACTTAGCTAATTTTTACCGTAGACAATGGAAAATATGCTAAATTATCCTTATAGATATTAGAGTACCAAGACTGGTTAGAGTGTGAACCATTGGGAGTAACCATAATAGAATTGCGCACTATTACTTAGTTTCCTGTTTGGGATATTGCACTTATGGCACTATTTGGATTGTAGGCACAAAACTCCCAATCATAAATCAAGAAATTAAATGGATAATTAATTATTTCATGGAAAAAGAATAACACAGATAAACAATAGTGAAATGTTTGTTTGATTTATAAATTTATTAATTGATTAATTTTATTAAGCAATTAATATTTTCTTATGATATAATTTATGAATGATTTACTCACTATTTCTTTCTTGATTTAAATATCAATATAATTTTATTAACAAAAATATTTGTATGAAAAATATTTTATGTGTATCATATATAAATAATATTTTTAAGAAAAAGTCAATCTTATATCAATTGTGTAATAATTAAATTATATTAGTCTAATTAAACGATATAAAATAGTAATAAATTTTTCTATTAAAAATATAAACTAAAATAAATTTTTTGGTTTACTTTATTATTAAATATATTTTTATATTAATCTTATATAATTTCACACAAGTAATATAATAATATAAAAATTTAATACATAGTTATAGAACAAAGTTCAAGCATATATATATATATATATATATTGGATACTTAGATACCTATACTCGCACCCATCCCATTAAAATTTGCGGGTGTTTACCCATATCGATACTTGTACCCATATAGTAGGTAAATACCTTACCCATTGTAGATAAATTTTGCGGGTGTCCATTGAGTACTTTACCCATTGTCATCCCTAATACCAAGTGGGCTATTAAAAAGGCTAATAGACCAAACCAGGCTTTTAAAAAAGACAAGCTAGGCTTAATAAAAAGTCTATGACAGGTAATAAGCTAGGCTTAGACTTCAAAATTATTAGACAGGATAGGCCTATTTTTGCAAATCCTAGCCTAGCCTATTTTTATCCCTACTCTTAATTTCTCTTGAAGTGAATTTTCCTTCTTGATTTTTTATTTCTTAAGCTCTAACATTTTTCATTGAATATGAGTGTTTTCCAAAGCATTTACAAGATCATCAATAATTTTCCTTCTCGGCCTATGGAGGTTAGTCTCATCCAAAGCAACATGAATAGACTTTTTTATAGTCATATTTCTTTTATTATAAATTGTACATGATTTACTATGTAGAGAGTAACTAAGAAATATCTCTTCCTTAGATTTAGCATCAAATTTGTCTAAATTATCCTTACCATTGTTCAAAACAAAACATTTACGTCCAAAGATATGAAAGTAGAAAGTATTGGCTTTTCTCTCTTTGTATATTTTGTAGGGGGTTTCTTTAAAATTGGCTTTATCAAGGCTTTATTCATAAGATAACAAACTATATTTATTCCATCCACCCATAAATATTTTGGGAGATCTCAGTCATTAAGCATAGTTCTTGCCATATTTTCTAAAAATTGATTATTCCACTCAACAACTTTATTTTGTTGTGGTATTCTTAGGGCAGAAAAGTTATGCTCAATTTCATGTTCATCACAAAATTTTTTAAAAGATACATTTTCAAATTCCTCACCATGATCACTTCTTATGGATGCAATGTTAAGATTTTTCTCATTTTGAATAACTTATTTAAATTTTCTAAATGCATCACTTTTATGAGCAAGAAAAAAAAGTTCATGTATACTTAGAATAATCATTCACAATTACTAGAGCATAATAATTTCCTCCAAAACTCAGTTCTAGATGGACCAAAAAGATTCATATGCAAAAGTTGTAAAGGTCTAGTTGTTTAAATGATATTTTTAAATTTATAAAAGACCTTTACTTGCTTTTCCTTTTTAAAATCCATCACATAGTTTATTATTTTTAAATTTGAGTTTTGGTAGACCAATTACTAGACCTTTTGAAAGCAATTTATTTAAGTGATCCATGTGAATATGCACAATTCTTCTATACCATAACCATGAATTATCTTCTTTACCTGTGAGAAGTTGTGCATGATTTGAAGGAATATCTTCTAGGTATATACATTATTTATTTTATGTCCTATAAACTTTACTTGTTTTTGCTTTCAATAAAGCAATAAAGTGAATCAAATAATATCTAATATCCTTTATCACATAATTGACTAACTCTTAATAGACTATGTTTAAGATCATTTATAAGTAAGACATTTTCTATAGAGGTAGAAGAATCTTTATTGACTTTGTCAACTCTAAGAATCTTTATTGTAATTTTGATATGAAAAAGAGTATTTTATTTTTATTTTTTTAAAATATAACTCAAACTTTGATTTTGTCTTAATTAATTATTGATTTTTTTCTTATAATATATATTCTGAACTTTAATATTATCTTATTTGATACTCAAGCTTTACTTAATTTTATAAATAAATATTTCAAATTTTAATTTCATTCCAATTAATTTTTGAGCTGTACTCTATTTATAAATAACCCCTTCTATTAGTTTAGAGTTTAATTATTAACGAAAAAATTTAACCATTTATTTAGGATTTTATTTAAATACATTAATAATGTAACGATCTTTTATCCTGTCATCTAATCATAAAGTGTTATATCAGCAAATTTTTTTAATTTTTGTCATAATTACTATAAAAAAAATCATATCTAAGATATATTCTAATTAGTTGACAGTGTAAAAATTTTAATACAACGTACAAAAATTAAATTCTTTATTTACTATAAATTCTAACCATTCATTAGTTTTTTTGTTTTTTGTTATAATTCATTTTTCCAAACATTATGTGTCAGTAAAAAGTTAGAATTCAAAAATTGAAGGAACAAAGAAAATAATAAAACTTAGTTTATTATATCTATTTATAAATTGATAAAATTTAAGAATTAATTGAGATGAAATTAGTGTTGAAAAAATCTTGCCATTTTCATAAATAAAAATTAAATCAGGAGAACTAAAATAATCTTTTTTATTTTGTTGTTACAAAATCTTTCTAGAGCCTCCAAGTTTGATTTTTCTGTTTTGGTAACTATGTTGTACTTTTCTAATTTTAATATTGTAGAAATATTTCAACCAATTCAAATTTATCTATTTCTTAAGCCATAGATAGTTTAAACCAATTATTATATTTTCATCGTTAGTATTGGTCCATTTTATATTTCAGTAAAATTAATTTTAAACTATTAAATAAATTAATATATTTCTAAATTAATCTTAATCATAAATTTTATTGAAATATATTATTAATTTTAAAAATTGTTAACAATTATTTGATTTAACAATTTAAAGAAAAATATAAATAAATTTATTTGTGTTTTGCTATTCGAAGAGTAGTTTTTATAAAGATGGACCGAAGCCCAGGACCAAGCCCAAGTCCACAAGCCTTCCTCACTGACTATGATCTTTCTCATGGCATCAATTTCCAGTTGCAGCGTGACTCTGCGCATCACCATTCCAAGGTTCGATTTTCTCTTCTTGTAAAATCCTATTTCCCTGTTTCATTCCTTCGAACCTTACTTTAGACTAAAGCACTTTTTATTTCAACTTTTGGGTTATTGGGTTTTCAGATCATAAGCTGGACCATTATTTTGTTGTTGCCTATGAATATTGCTAATAATGCGTACATGATTCAGCGAAGTAATTAGTGACATAAATTTGAAAATTCGTGTTTTCATGATGGGAATGTATATTATAAACTGTGTTGGAAATAGTTTGTCATTCCAGTAAGAGTGAGTAGATAAGGGTTTTAGTTTGTGTTGATAATTTCAAAAGAATAAACGAAATGTTAATGATTACTTAGACAAAGAAGGTGCATATAGGCAGGCAGGTTGTAACTACAGTAGCTGCTTAGGCATTTGCAAAGTGTTGATTGATTACTTCTTCTCTCTTTCTTGAAGTATTATCCAATTTGTAGTGATGACTGGATAAGGTTTCTCATCAATTTTCATATAACTGTATGATTTAGATAAGCCTGTTTAATTTGCATTCGATGTTACGAGCTCATAACCATGTTGATCCATTCTTTTCTTTGGTGGTACATTTCCAGCATAAAAAACACTATATTGCACTGAAAATACGTTCTGTTGTGAATAGGCCTGTCTCTTTCATCCAGTTACAGATGGCTTTTTTGTTCCAGAAATTTCAAGAGGTATATGCTAATCTTATGACACCATCATTTTGACAGTAAGTCCTCAAGTTTCTTTTTTTATAAGAGAATTCTTTCCTTACCGTTTGGTCAGATTATGCAAAAATATGTATAAAGTATTGTTTATTTATGAAGCAAAACAAAAAATGGAGAAAAGACAAGTAAATAAGTAACATGGATTTGTACTGTGCAGTCGACAATGAGTGACAAAAACTCATTTGGATCATAAAAGTCTTTGTTTGGAACCAGGTAATGGTAGGACATGATCCATTGTTCCAAAAAACTCAAGGTGGTTAGTATGAATATTTTTCCATGCTCCTAGGAAGCATGAAATAGAAGAAACTTCAATTCTATCTATTCTTAGTCTTCTATTTTGTATTGTTTCGTGACCATTTATTAAATTATTAGAATTTTTATCTCCAGGTTATAAAACTATGTGATGTATTAGCATAATGGTCCATTGTTCCATATGTATTTTGAGAAATTCAATGTTCTGAAATCAGGGATTCTATACTTTGTTTATTAAATTGTGATATATCAATTCTTGCTGGGATTAGTGTGATATGAATGCTTCAGAGTTTTGTGCTATGCTAAGTTGTAGAGTAGTTAGTAGTTAACTGTTTTAAATCCTGCGAAATTTATCACAATAATCAATCTTGGTCTGAATTTGTTTTCAGGCTGTGAAAACCCTTGCAAAACACCCTGCTTTTGCTAAGGATCCTAGACAACTACAATTTGAAGCTGATATTAACCGCTTGTTCCTTTATTCGAGGTCAGTGATTTTCTGTTGTCTGCATTAAGAGCACATTGTTTGAGATGTTAAGTAAATTTGAACTATAGGATATTAGTTCTTAGATGTTAATACAATATAAGTTGTTGTTATGTATTTGTGGGTTCATATTATTTTAATGCGAGTAATTCCGATTTTGTTGTGTTTGTGATGCTTTTCCTTTTTAACATCTCAAAATATTTTGCTCATGCGAAGACTTAAATATCCAGCTATAATCGTCTTGGGGGAAATGCCAATGAAGCAGATGCAGAAGAGATTATTGAAATGGCCAGTAGGGCCTCTGTTGCTGATCAACAAATGCAAATACAAGAAAATCTTCATTCACAAATCAAAACATTTTGCTCAATCATGGATGAAATTCTACTTCCAAATGAGAAGATGGTAAATGAACATCAACAAGAAAGCACTGTTCCTCGCCGAAGTGGGCTTAGTTTTGCAGTGGGTAGGAGCGATCCAGCCCATAACAGTCCTAGTGAGTGCGCCCCCCCCCCCCCCCCCCTCTGTTGCCTTTTTCAATCTTTTCATCATTTTATTCAACTTTCTTGTCATCAATAAAGACTGTCATATAGGGGTTCTATTATAGTTAGAATTTGTGGGGAAGCGGCCTTAGGATTAGGAATTAGCAACCAGATACAATCTGCCTGTTTTAAACTGAGACATCTTTTCCTAATTTGAATATCCTCATCCCTGACATGATTTAAGTTTTAAGCACCCCATATAACCTCTGATAGAGCCAGCATTTTTACTCTTTTTTTGTGTGGGTCACACGTTGTCTTATAGGCTCTAGAATAAAAAAGGCCATGAAGCTAACATTTGTTGCTCCTTAATAAATGAATATATGCAAATATTATGGGTCTGTGTTTTCCAGATAAGGAATGCCAATGTTTATAAAATATTGATTAAGTTGACATGTCTGTTTATTTCAACACCACATTTTTTAATTGCTGCTTAATCGTTTCATGATGTTTGATTCCCTTCAGATTCACAAGGGTACAGAAACTATCCCATTTTAGTAACAACTTACTTTAATTATTCAGTTATAATTTCATATTGTTGGGAAAATTTCCCCTTGTTGCCTGTTCACTGTAGCCGCTTGTTATTGATATGCTTTTGGAGCAGCTGGCCCCGAGACAAGACCATTAAGTCAAACTGAAGTTTCTCAGAAATTAAAAGATCAACTTGGATACACGCTTAATGTTAAACCTTCTCAAATATCTCACAAGGATGCTGGTCAGGGTGTTTTCCTAGACGGCACAGTAGACGTTGGTGCTGTGGTGGCCTTTTATCCTGGTGTAGTCTACTCTCCAGCTTATTATCGTTACATTCCTGGGTACCCAAAGGTTGATGCACAGAACCCCTATTTGATTACAAGATATGATGGGAATGTTATCAATGCCCAACCTTGGGGTTTTGGAGGTGACAACCGAGAACTGTGGAATGGTAGAAAAATAGGAGAAATCAAGGCTGACATGAAAGGAGCTGAACCTGAGAGAGGTTCAGACAGGCTATGGAAACTGCTGAGTAAGCCTTTGGAAGGAAACCAAGGTGATAACAGAGAAGTAATTGAGCGTAGAAACCCATTAGCTTTGGCTCATTTTGCCAATCACCCTCCAAAAGGGGTGCTACCAAATGTCATGATTTGCCCTTATGACTTTCCATTGACTGAAAATGACATGAGAGTTTACATTCCGAACGTTTTGTTTGGAAATGCAGAAGTAAATATGAGGAAGTTTGGCAGCTTTTGGTTCAAAACTGGAGGGTCAAGAAATAGTGGATCACGAGTTCCAACACTGAAAACTCTTGTTTTGATAGCTACTAGGGCTGTCCAAGATGAGGAACTACTCTTGAACTACAGGCTGAGCAACACTAAACGTAGACCAGAATGGTACACTCCAGTGGATGAAGAAGAAGACAGGAGAAGATGGAGCTAGTTATCGTTTGACTTCAGACTCCCATTGTTGATTTGTCTCAATGAAAAGGAAGTTGTATTTGTAATCCTATTTTTCTTGATACAACGAATGATGAAGTTTTGCGGGATTGATTTTGGTCTGATGTTAGAAGTCAGTCTAGGGAATTTACTGAAAATCCAAATTCAATTAAACTAAATATTGATTAATGACAACACAGCACTCATACATCCATCTTCAAACGCCCTATGGCAACTCAAAAATCTAACGTGCTTCTATGTTTCTGGTTTATCGCACCTGAATTGCATGTTTCATAGTTTATGAATATCGTGTTCAATCCACTTCATCTAGTTTGGGTTGGTTATTATCTTGTTTTCTTTGTTAAGCACCATTTTTTCCTGCGAGGTGGGGGGTATTGCGGTTTGTACTGAATCCTTTCTTTTTGATCCATTGCATATATGCTTGTTGAGTTGGATGAATATACTTTATCAAATTTATATACACAAAATGAACCATCTTGCAAATAAACTAGCCGTTGTTTGCTTACACCATGAAATGTAGATAATAACACAGAAATGAGAATTCGTAAAGCAAAAGAACGAAATATGACAAAAAAAAAAAAAAAAAAGGTCCAGAGGTTGACTTTTTTTTTTATTTTAAATATATTTTTTCATTCTTTTAAAAAATGTTTTATATAAAAGGACCAAGATGTTTAATTCCCAAAACTATAAAATTATCTTATACATTTTTTTACATTTTATGAAGATATTTATATGCCAAAACGCTATTATACTAATCTTTGCTTCTTTTATGCAACTCCGACTATTTTCACCTTTATTACTTCAGATATATCAGCAAACCAATTTTAATTTTACACTGTATTATATAAATGTATCTATTGGAAATGGTAATTGAATTTTATATTATTTTGGATGATATCAAAATTTTAATTTACACAAGGATAGTTCAAAGAAGTGGGTTGGTGTTTTTTCTACTATTTGTGTAAAATGGTGCCGGTTGATGCTCCTTGTAAAATAAGAGAATGTGTAATATTTGTCTGTATTTAAATGATTAGAAGGGAATGGATGTCCTTGAATTAAATGCAAAGGTAATTGCTTGTGTTATAAGGAAGGCTTTTTATAGTGAATTACTACATTGGACGTTAACTTGATGAAGTGGAATTATAGGTTGACTTGAACTTTAATGAAAATTATACAGGTGCTTCAAACAACAAAGTAACAATGGATAACCAAGAAAAAATTGTTCCAATGTATCAAATGGTTTTGTGATGCATTTATGATGCTCGAGTTGATGATGTAAATGAGTTAACAATTATGGAAGAGCCACCTATCAAACTTGCCTCATCATGAAATCTATGATGACATTAAAGCCCATCACAACCAGGAAAACATGGATGAGGACATTAAGATAACAAAGGTGGCCAATTTGCGATGATCCTACCCGTAATAGGGAAGAAAACTATTTTATTTTTGGCTTAATTCCACTTTTAATCTTCATTATTCAATTTATGTATAATTTTAGTTCTCTTAAGTTAATTGCTCACATTTAATCTTTTTACAATTTTTACCATTGTTTAATCTTAAAACAATCTATGTTTGGCTTTATTTATTTTCTCTGTTAGATTATTTTAATAATCTTATTATAGTGGCCTATGTAACTTATGACATGACTCTAATTAATGATTTAATGTGATGGTGGTTAAATATAAAATATAGAGTCATTGAGGGTATAATTGTGAATACAATTATAAGGAAACCCTTCCCTCTCCCTTCATATAAATAAAAGAGTGGTTACCAAATAGAGGTTACGACATTCTCTATTCTCTATTACTTTCACGGTCTTTAAGTGTGCTCATGGTAAACGTAAGAAAGGAACTTTCTCTCAACCATTCGATAAAAGCTAAAAGAGGAAGGAAGAGTTGGGAAAAATATAAAGGGATTAATGACATCAAAGAGAGAGGTAACATCAAGGAATAATGGATTCAGTTTAGTGCTCTCTAAACCTTTGATTGAGTAAGCACCATGTATGGTATTGTGAGAACAACGTAATTCAAGATCAGAAGTGGGAAATGGTAATTTTATAATAGTCATATCAAACGGAAATTACATAATGGAATAAGAAAATCTAACAGTTGGTATCAGAGTAAGGTTGTGAATTTTGTTGATTCTCCATAAAAGATTGGTTCTCCATTAAAGTTTTTCCAAATTGCATGAACCCTAGGTATTTTATATGATGGATTGACATAATTTTGATGTTAAATAATTATTTTGGATTGAATAATTGAAAACCCTAAAGTTTTGGAAGCTAGAAACGTTAGGTTTTGAATCTGTAATATGAGCATGGGCATATATCAGTGAGTAAGGCCATGCATTAGGGAGCAGGGCCATGCATCAAGAAAAAGCACGACGTTGCATAACGGAAGCATGACCATGTATCAATTATAAGCACGACTGTGCATAGTGATTTCATGGCAGAATGAGGAACATAATTCATTAAAGTTATAGATTACTTTAGAACTACATCAAAGTGGATTTTACTCACTAAAGTGATTAAATTCTCAAATTAATTAATTCTAAATTGTATGATCATAATGGAAATCCCATAATTTAGTGCTTAATTTTAAGGGTAGCTTGTTAGTTACCAAAGTGGCCTGGCTTTAAAAGTTTGTTCATACATTTAATTGTGTATTGTAAATTGTTTAAAATTGTTTGATGCTATGTGGTAACATAAAGGGTGAACAATTTAGCTCATTAATTATAACAGTAGAAGATCACCCAAAGGTGGATCATTGCATATGATTAATGACATTAAGGAGACATAAAAACACTTCATAATATGTTTGTATATCCAAAGATAACTTGCATATTGGTTTGAGTGACTGGTTGTCAATTAAAGTTATATATTTAGCATCATTATAGATAAATTATGTATTTAGTCGTCACCCAAAGGTAAACTTAGATGCATAATTGATGATGGTTAGTTGTCTAAATCTATTAAGTTTATTCAAGCGTAAATATTTAAGCATATGTTAAATATTTCAGTCCTTATGAGTACGTATCGCATGAGCAATGGTGTAGTCAAGTTCAATAGACTTAATTATGATGATTGGGCTGAGTAAGTTCAATTACAGCTAGGTGTTATAGAGTTAGACCTAGCAATCATTATAAAACAAGATCTTATAGCCAAATCAGAGACCAGTACTAAAGAGGAAAAGACTCTTTGTGAGGCTTGGGAAAGGTCAAACAGGCTGAGCTTGAGCTTGCTGAAAATGACTATGGCTGAAAATGTGAAGCCATCAATGCCAAAGACTGAAAATGTTAGAGAATTTATGGCAAAGGTAAAAGAGTATGCACAATCGGACATTACTGACAAGTCCGTTTCAGGTACCCTGTTGACTGAGCTGACTACTGAGAAGTTTGATTAGTCACGGCCTATTCATGACCATGTATTAGTCATGGCCTATTCATGACCATGTGACTGACATGATCAATCAAGCGACAAAGTTGAAATCAATGGCCATGGAGTAGAGGAATTCTTTCTAGTACAGTTCATTTTGAACTCACTTTCTCATGAGTTTGGTCAGTTCCAGGTGAATTACAACACCATTAAAGATAAATGGAACATACAGGAAATTAAGGTCATATTGGTTCAGGAGGAAGAGAGGTTAAAGAAGGTGAAAGAACACTTCGTCTGTCTCACATTTCATGAACGAGCTAGTATTAGCAAGGCTAAGCCAGGTAAGAAGAACAACAAGGACAAGAAGGATAAGGTCTTATTAAAGGTTCGTGAAGGCTGGATCTAAAAGGGCCAAAGGTGCTTCTTCTGCAAGAAGACTGGTCACTTCAAGAAAAATTGTCCGAAGAGAAAGGTTTGGTTCGAGAGGAAAGGTATATATTATGTTTTTGTATACTTTGAATCAAATCTTACTAAAGTACCTAAAAACACCTGGTGGTTAAATTTTGGTGCAATTACTCATGTGTGACATGTAATGTAGGGATTTCTTTCAATTCAGCTCATAAGCGGAACTGAAAAGTTCTTGTACATGGGGAATAGATTGAAGGCACGAATAGAAGGAATAGGGACTTACAGATTGATCTTGCATATTGGTTGTTGCATAGATCTAGAAAAATGTCTTTATGTTCCTAAATGTGCTAGAAATTTGGTTTCTGTTACAAAGTTGGACGAATTTGGTTTTAATTTTAAGATTAGAAATGGTACTTTTTATTTGTATAAACACTTATACTATTTTGGATTGGTACATTAATTGATGGTTTATATCGTTTCAATCTTAATTTTAAATTTGCTGTATCTTTGTTTCATGTTGAGAATGTTGTTAGTAGTAATTTGAATGTGCGTAATAAATGCTTTACTTTCTTGTGGCATCAAAGGTTAGGTAAGATATCCAAAGAAAGGATGACAAGGTTAATGAAAAATGGATTTTTACGTTAGTTAAATTTGGCTGACTGGGATGTATGTGTGGATTGTATTAAAGGAAAACAAACCAAACACACATCAAAGAGTCCAGCCACAAGAAGCAGTCAACTCTTAGAGTTGATACACATTAATATTTGTGGTCTGTTTGACATCCCATCTTGGGATAGTGAAAGATATTTCATTACCTTTATTGATGACTACTCACATTATTACTATTTGTATGTATTGCATGAAAGATCTCAATCAGTGGATGTCTTACAGGTGTTCATTGATGAGGTGGAAAGGCAACAAGATAGAAAGGTAGAGGTTGTAAGGTTAAATAAAAGTGGTGAATATTATGAAAAATATGATGAAAGTGGACAATGTTCAGGTCCATTTGCGAAACTTCTAAAAAGTCGAGGCATATGTGCATAGTATACTATGCCTGGTACACCACAACAAAATGGTGTGACTAAAAGGCGGAATCGTACTATCATGGAAATGGTTAGGAGTATGTTGAGTTACAGTTCTGTAGCTATATCTTTGTGGATGTATGCATTAAAGATTGCTGCGTATCTGCTTAAGAAAGTTCCTAGTAAGGCAGTTTCAAAGACTCTTTATGAACTGTAGACAGGAAAGAAACCTAGTTTAAGACATCTTTATGTCTGGGGTTGTCCAACAGAAGTAAAA